AAGCACCAAGATCTTCCTTAGGGCACTCCAATCATTAGCTACAACCAGCCTGGCAGTGGTTTGGAAGCTCGTCCTGCCACAAGGAATCTGTCCTCGGCTTTTCAGCAGCTAGGGATGGAAACAATCAAAAAATATATAGTCCCTGCTGTTTTGCAAAATAAAATATATTCCCAACTTTCCCCTCTCTCTTCATATTGTCAGAAGTGGGATAATAGTCTAGTAGCATTGTCATTTACATAGCTTCCACTTCTGACTACTGTCCAGTCCAGATGAATGTCTTCCATCTTCTGTCCTTCAGGATGATAGTGTAATGCTCCTCATTTTTTCACAGACTCAGACAGCAATATGCAGTTATAAATGCAACACAAAATCAGACAGAATGTTATAGAATTCTCTCTCTATAAATATTGAGAATTCTAGATAAAAGGTCTTGCCTTTCCTTCTTCCAGATATTCCACTGTGCGGTTATTTTCTGGTTGAATCCTTCTTTTGTGAGGCTAAGAAAAACAGTTTCCCAGTGGGTAGTTTTCTCGGACAGCATGTCCTCAAAATCACAGCATTTAATACTGCTGTGTATAAGTAAAATAATACATTAATAACATCATGAATAATACATCAATACCCTGAAATCAAAATTCAGCACTTCTACAACAAGCAAACATTATGAATTATAGAAGTATGAGCATGAACAATGAAGAACAATGTCTTCTATGAAATGTTACCATTGAGATGTTACCATTATCTACACAAACTCTGATAACCAGCCATAGATCATTCATCTACCAGCAATAGAAGATAGATAATTTCTTAAGAGTCTTAGATACAGCAAACAGAAGTAACCTCCTAGATACCGAACAATAGGAATCAGGAATAGATCATAAAGAAATGGTTTCCTGTCCATGTGCAGAAATGGGTCAGCGTGGTTTTTCCTCTGTCTGGTACAATTCTAATATTGTACACGAAATGCGGCCCGAAAACTGAAATCACGATTTAATTAACAGTTACTGTGCTCACCTGGATTTAGATGTAACTATATGGTCATGTTGCTAGGGTTTTTAGGCGGCGAGAAAGACAAAGTTCTGCCAAAACGGCCCGCTCTAACACCTGCTTGCTGACCTGAAGTAAAATGGCTGGCAATCTTGTCTCACTGCGGGATTTCCGGTGTTGGCCAGGGTTTTCCCCGCTACGTGGCCGAGTTACTAGCCGTATATTTTTATACGTGAAAGCTCAGGGGAATTACAAGTAGGACAATGGAAAATCCCCAAACAGCAACCGTAGGCTATAACCGGGATATCTCTCAATGCGTCTTATGACGAAAATGAAGTCACTGGGCGCATGTAAGAGAGAAAAATAGAAGGGTCACAAAGGGGTGGTATGTCAGCCAAAGTATCTTGTCTACTTTAAGCGGCGTCTCGCGACAGAGAGCTTAAAATATAATTTAAAAGTTCTCATTTCTTAATTATTTATATTTTAATAATTTCGCCATGGATGATTTTTCAATCCTTCGGAGAGGGAGATATGACTGGGTTGAGAGGAGGGGGTGATATGACAGTCACTGTTAGCTGAAAGCTATTTTCTTTCCTTTCTATTTCCCCATTCTGGGCGACATCAACGCGTGGCCGGGTACAGCTAGTTTAAATGGATAATCAAGAAATTATTTTAAAAATGAACATTCAGTAAAGCTGCTATGGACTGCAGTTTTTTTTAAATTGGTGGTTAATGAGTTAATGATGCGTGTCAAAGTTAATTATACGCAATGGATGATAATAAGTTTCACTGTAATCCAAGCAACAACAACAACAAAACAAAAAAGAGCGGAAAATCGTTTGGCCGGGTGAGGGGAGGGGGTGGTTCGGTTTATGCCAACAGCTAGATTTTATCATTAAAACGTCTACTACAACAAGTAGTTCATGAGTTAAGGGTATAAGGAGTTTGCCAGCAGTGAAATGTGTCGTTACATAAAATATTGACGAGAACCCAGAGAAACATCGTCACTTAAGCATCGGCTATACACAACTTTATAGTCATCGGAACGGACTTCACAATATTGATCGTACTTTGAGATTTCATTTTCAAAATAAAGGTCTCTCATTACAAAAAAGGACTGGTAGAGATGTTTTTGAAAACCTGAAATGCCTTTGATTTTTTAATTGTGGGTAACGTTAAAAAAAAAAAAATAGATAAAGAGATCCATTTCTGAGTCTTCAAGCATATCTGGGTTTATAGAACTTGCCCCATATTTGAATTGGCGATCCTGAGATTTGTGGGCGGCATCACGCTAGTGCCTTTACTTCGTCGAACACATCCTGGCACTTATTATTTGCTTTACATTGAAGCCCAGGACAATTTCCATCTTGATAAGGGTTCAAATCTCTGAGCATTGTCTCGGAAGGCAAAGTTTCTGACTCTATGGTAGACAGTTCACATCCTCAAGTAGGGAAGCTCGAGACTTGAGACAAACTACACATTAGATTTTGAGACTTCTGGATATAATAAAGGTTACTGAGTTTGACTATTTAATCTAGTCACCCGGTCGTATGTTATGTATAGTTTCCTAAACAAATCGGAACTGTACTTGTATCAGTGAGGAGCCGTCTCCAGAATGAAGGTTGGCTGCAATGGATCTCCAACACCCTCTGTCGCTTGTCTTGGTAGTACACTCTCTGAGACTGCTGTTCTTCTATTTATTGATGTTGTCTGCTGTTCTTCCATTTATTGAGGTTGTCCTCCCAACAATATCTTGTCTACGTCTTGGACTGTCCTGGTGAAAATGGATCGTATGGTCACCTTGGTTACAGAGTAACCTATAGGTCAATGTAGGGATGCGATACTGTGAAAATAGTTTATTGTAACAAACTACCAGATACAACTGAGGAAAGAAGAATCGATATGGACACAAGGGCTTTATCCAGAAACACGGAAGCTGACAACTCTCAAATGGTCAGACAGCTTGTGACCAAAACTGTTTTCTCCAATCTGAGGTGACAGACAGTTTTCAGATGAAAGCTTCAGTTTATCATTGAGAAGTCATAAGCTAACTGCGCTTCTCCCGCTCTCTCTCTCTCTCTCTCTCTCTCTCTCTCTCTCTCTCTCTCTCTCTCTCTGTCTGTCTGTCTGTCTGTCTGTCTGTCTCTCTCTCTCTCTCTCTCTCTCTCTCTCTCTCTCTCTCTCTCTCTCTCTCTCTCTCTCTCTCTCTTTAACCCCACGTTTCCTATCCGGCTATGCTATATTTTACACCGTTATTTCATGATGGTGCTATACTTAATACATTTCATGTTTGCTTTGTCTTCGGTGAAGGTTAATATAATCGGAATGGGTCACGTGTTTTGTTTTTAATATTTTTATTGCGGTAGCTCCATAACTTCACTTTCCAGAGCGTTTACTGTTTCCTTATTTATACCAGTTATGACAGGCCACCTCCATTAGGATTTGACTTCGTGCCCACAAGGTCGTCTGACAAATTAACTAGCCAAGCCTACGTCCAGCTGCACATCCATGTCGTGATTGTAACCGACTCACAAAGCATGTTCAAAACGGTGGAGCCACGCATGCTCCATGCAGAGGCCATGCATCGCTTTTTATTTCTCTCGGGTAGTTGACATAACATAACCCTTGACCCATTAGGGTCGCGGGGGTGTATTAATGGAATCACTAGCACATAAAACCCGCCATCGATATCTGTCTTTCGCTTGATGAATAAGTGTATGATAACTTAGTCCTGCCCATTTCTTGATGTTGTCATTCCAGTTCTTCTTTGCCCTCCTCCTCTTCGACTACCCCCTAATGTTCCTTGAAGTACAGTCTTAGCAATCGAGTCATGTCTCACCACGTGACCAAACCAAGCTAGCTTGCGACGTTTCACCACTGCCAAAAGAGGCTCCTGATGTCCCGCCAATTTGTATAGTTTGTCTCTGACATATTTATAAGTTGTGTGTTCTAAAAAACTAATTCGTAAGATGTGTCTGTAGTATTTACATTCGAAAACCTGAATCCTGGGTAATTAGCGTTCTTTGGATATTTATCCTCGTGGTATGTAGGAGAGTTAAAGAATGAACAGGCAGAGTGGCTGTTTGGTAGCTAGTGAACAATGCGAAGGCATGAATCGATCATTATGTTTTGGAGAGTAGGGTACATCTGTGAGTGACCAGCGAATCTGGTCGAAACTCGACACTCAGAGGAAAGGGCAAGGCGGACAAGTAAACAAACGGTTACTGGCACCATTAGAGCTGTAACTGTTAGATGGCTGCTGAAGATAAGGACGGAGTTCTTTTGTAATGTTTATTCAACAGATCAACATCCTGGCACACGGATGTAACCCATAAGTGCTCCGTTCTTCCTCTAACTCAAGGCTAAGTCCAAAGAATCTCAGCGCAGTGCACGAACTCTGTTGCACTGGTGAGGAAACTGAAATACTTTGGGTAGATTTTTAACTGCAAGTTTTACCAGGGAAGCGCCATTAAGCTACTCTTTTCGATTTAAAATTGCCAAGGGATTTTTTTTACGTGCGCAACAATACACACGGGCGTCCGGTCTTACTACCCAGAGACTAGGGAGAAATTACTGGAAATCCACATGAACAAATCCCAGCCTTCACCGGGGCTTGAACACGAGACCTCTAGCACTCGAGGCGGACACCATGCCTCGAGACCACGCAGCCCACAAGGAGAGAGTGCTTACTGGGATGTCCCGAGAACTTTGATCTCAGTTCTTAGTTCACACTCAACGTCAATGACCAAATGGAAACCTCTAGACATGGTGTCTCCATTAGTCAAGTCTATTTTCAACAAGACACTACAAATACGAAAAATTGTCATGTCACATCTCATCATCATCACAAGTTCAAGCCGACTGACGCTTATCCACATCGTGGATTTCTATTATCATGCATAAAACTATTTTTAAAAAAAAAAAAAAGGTCCTGCCTTGATAGGTGAAGCTGTAAAAACCGTCTCTTATTGCGTTGTCTTTCTCTAACACACGCTTTTTCTTCCACATTTCAGATGCTGACACCTCTTCCGGTATGTTCCCATGACAACAACGTCTGCAACATTCTTATCAAAAACGAGTCCAGTGCGGTTGACGAAATAGAGCAGGTCTGCACATGCGCACACGGCAAGCTATGTCCTAGAACCATTAGCAAGACCAATACTATCCGGTTCCTAGACTTCGAGTGGTAAGGTCATTTGCTCAACTCGTGTTTACTACGCAAATATCTGTACACGGCGATCTTTCTCGAACCTATCATTGTTAACTGTTTTACCCACCCCCTTTTCCCCCATTTTTTCTCTTGTTACTTGTTATCCGTATCGATACCCAAGCACATCGGTGCGATCCATTTGTGGTCGTTCCTCAAATGAAGCAGCCATCTGAGTGTCTGCATGCTCAACTTATCTCTCAGAATTGTTTCTTCTGTTTTTGCCCTGCAGACAGTTGCTACATGCTTGTTTAATGTTCATTTCCAGTAGGCGGTTCACCATCTCTGACTCCACTGTCTCAACATCTCTGGAACGCAGTGCATTCATTATGTCTACCCTGTCCACCCTTCTTCATTCACTTAACTACTGCAGACAGCCAGTCTGTCGGCTCATTTGTCCCCATAAAAACAGACCCCCATGTTCTAACCATTGCTGTGTCCTTCCATATCAAACAGTGTCCAAAAGTTGCTACAATAATCCGTTATATTCTAGTGATTACACAATTTTTTCCCCTAGACAGTTGCAACATTACTCAGCCCTGTTCTAGATATAGGAGTCGCCGTGGCGTAGCTGCTAGACGCTCGCGTGCGGATCGGAAGGTCGTTGGTTCACTCCCTGGCAAAGCCGACTTTTAAAAAAAAAAGACTTCGACTCCCAGTTCGACCCAGCTTGGAGTTGGCACCGGGTGCAGTCCCGGGAGGTAAAGCTGGCCGGCGTGATGCTGACCACATCACCCATCTTGTGCCGATTGATCTATAAAAAATATAGGTCTAGCCCTATATGCCATAAAGGGACCTTTACTTTACTTATGTTCTAGATGTTACATGGTCTTTCTGTATCAAAAAGTTACTAAAGTAACCCGTTATATTCTAGTTATCCCACCCTCTCGTCCCAGACAGTTGCAGCATTAATCATCCCCGTTTTGTTGATTACTTATCTTTTCTGTACTAAATAGTTGGTACATTAATAGCTTGTGAAATACATAAAGGACCCTTTTTTACGCCTTTAGGCTATTGGGAATGTAGGGCTAGACCTATATTTTTATAACCCAATCGGCACTTGGTGGGTGATATGGTCAGCATCACGCCGACAGGACTGCACCTGGTACCTTTTCGAAGCTGAGTCGACCTGGGAGTCAAGGTCATTTTTGAAAACAGTCTGGCTCCGACAGCACGTGAACCTACGACCTTCCAATCCACAGGCGGGCGTCCAGCCGCCAACGCCACGGCGACTCCCTGTGAAATATATAAGCTAATAATTTATCAACTATTTAGTGTACTCGAGCTAAGTAATCGATGTAATATGGGTGATTAATGTTACATGTCATACTAAATAGTTAACAGATGTTTATCTTATATTATTGCGATCAACGTTACTGCATGTTAATCACTCCCATGCGTGCTCAGTCTTTCGCGGCACTAAAAATCCCAACGTACTTGTACTGACTGTTAACATACGAAGTATGTTATAGTGTCTTTTTCCTATTATTATTCTTAGCGTTCGCCGGCCTGAACTCAACCAGTAAGTTCTGATTGCTCGTCCACTCCTGGACTTTGATGCATTTTCATGCATCCATTTTAAAGATCTGGTTTAGTAGTATGATGGTGCATCGCCGCTCAAGCAGATGAACTCCGACATTGAAAAAAAACACTTTAATTTCCCCCCCCCCCCCCCAAATGGGACTTCAGAACCCGCAAGAAATATAATATTGCCAATCCTGACCTCTAAAACGGCATAATCGTGCTTTGCCATGTTCAGCCAGCTTGTAGGTCACCTTGCCGAGTTAGCGTCAGAGACTCATCGCTGTGCTCCAGTCCAGTCCGTACATTGTTGATTGTATCAGTAATATCAGCTATACAAGTGTAAGTAAACAAGGTGAGGTTCTGGAAGAGGTTCTGACACATGCCGATTTCATTAGCTTTAATGATGGCGGACCCAAATGAATTCATGGCAGACCCCGTATAATTCATGACAGACCCAACAGAATTTATGGCATACCTACCAGAATTCATGGTAGACCCAACAGAACTCATGGCAGACCTACTAGAATTCATGGTAGACCCAACAGAATATATGACAGGCCTACTAGAATTCGTGGTAGACCCACCTGAACTCATGGCAGACCTACTAGAATTCGTGGTAGACCCACCTGAACTCATGGCAGGCCTACTAGAATTCGTGGTAGACCCACCTGAACTCATGGCAGGCCTACTAGAATTCGTGGTAGACCCACCTGAACTCATGGCAGGCCTACTAGAATTCATGGTAGACCCAACAGAACTCATGGCAGACCTACGAGAATTCATGATAGACCCACCTGAACTCATGGCAGACCTACTAGAATTCATGGTAGACCCAACAGAACTCAAGGCAGACCTACTAGAATTCATGGGAGACCCACCTGAACTCATGGCAGGCCTACTAGAATTCATGGTAGACCCAACAGAACTCATGGCAGGCCTACTAGAATTCATGGTAGACCCAACAGAACTCATGGCAGACCTACGAGAATTCGTGATAGACCCACCTGAACTCATGGCAGACCTACTAGAATTCATGGTAGACCCAACAGAACTCAAGGCAGACCTACTAGAATTCATGGGAGACCCACCTGAACTCATGACAGACCTACTAGAATTCGTGGTAGACCCACCTGAACTCATGACAGGCCTACTAGAATTCATGGTAGACCCAACAGAACTCATGGCAGACATACTAGAATTCGTGGTAAACCCACCTGAACTCGTGGCAGACCTACTAGAATTCATGGTAGACCCAACAGAATACATGACAGACCTACTAGAATCCATGGTAGCACCCAGCAAAACTCATGGCAGACCTACTAGAATTCATGGTAGACCCACCTAAACTCATGGCAGGCCTACTAGAATTCATGGTAGACCCAACAGAATACATAACAGACCTACTAGAATTCATGGTAGACCCAACAGAATACATGACAGACCTACTAGAATTCATGGTAGACCCAACAGAATACATGACAGACCTACTAGAATTCATGGTAGACCCAACAGAATACATGGTATACCTACAAGAATTCATGGTAGACCAAACAGAATACATGACATGCCTACTAGAATCCATGGTAGCACCCACCAGAACTCACAGCAGACCTACTGTCATTCACTGGTTAGATTGTAGTAGTCCGAAACTCATTTTTGCAAATTCATCAAGGTTTCTCCCATATGTAGGCTGTAGGTTTTGTAGAGCGGAATTAGCAGCAATAGATCAGATTATAATAATAAAAACTATTCACTCACCCCTGGCAGGGATTTCAAACAGACAATGGTGACTTCAGGTATGACCACCTACTGGTTCACCGTGGGTCTCTGTTCGAAAAAAAAGTAAAAAGACATAAAAAGGGGAAGCTAACTCTGAGTTAGTCCTACAAATTCTCCTTTACCTTTTTCACTTAATAAATTATTTAATTAATAAAATTGCTATAATGAAGCAACAATTAATATGCGAGAAACAGTTGTCCAGACCAGCTCGTCATAGTACAATTAGCTGACAAGTAAGGGTTTATGTGGAACAAAGTAAACATCTGTTGGTACAAATAGCATGACAAGAAAGAATGTACAGGAACCAGTAGTGAAAATCTGAGGGTAAAAATAGATTGATATGTCAGTATGTATGAACAGATTGGGAACATCTGAGGGTCCAGTTAGCGTGACATATAAACGTGTACATGAACCAATTGTGAACATCTGAGTTTACATGTAAGTGTGTACTGGAAGGAACCAGAAGTGAACATCTGAGTTTACATGTAAGTGTGTACAGGAAGGAACCAGAAGTGAACATCTGAGTTTACATGTAAGTGTGTACAGGAAGGAACCAGAAGTGAACATCTGAGGCTACATGTAAGTGTGTACAAGAAGGAACCAGAAGTGAACATCTGAGGCTACATGTAAGTGTGTACAGGAAGGAACCAGAAGTGAACATCTGAAGCTACATGTAAGTGTGTACAGGAAGGAACCAGAAGTGAACATCTGAAGCTACATGTAAGTGTGTACAGGTAGGAACCAGAAGTGAACATCTGTGTTTACATGTAAGTGTGTACAGGAAGGAACCAGAAGTGAACATCTGTGTTTACATGTAAGTGTGTACAGGAAGGAACCAGAAGTGAACATCTGAGGCTACATGTAAGTGTGTACAGGAAGGAACCAGAAGTGAACATCTGAGGCTACATGTAAGTGTGTACAGGTAGGAACCAGAAGTGAACATCTGAAGCTACATGTAAGTGTGTACAGGTAGGAACCAGAAGTGAACATCTGAGGCTACATATAAGCGTGTACAGGAAGGAACCAGAAGTGAACATCTGTGGCTACATGTAAGCGTGTACAGGAAGGAACCAGAAGTGAACATCTGAGTTTACATGTAAGTGTGTACAGGAAGGAACCAGAAGTGAACATCTGTGGCTACATGTAAGCGTGTACAGGAAGGAACCAGAAGTGAACATCTGAGTTTACATGTAAGTGTGTACAGGAAGGAACCAGAAGTGAACATCTGAGGCTACAATCAGCATGACATTTAATGACCCAACAGAATACATGGTATACCTACAAGAATTCATGGTAGACCAAACAGAATACATGACATGCCTACTAGAATCCATGGTAGCACCCACCAGAACTCATAGCAGACCTACTGTCATTCACTGGTTAGATTGTAGTAGTCCGAAACTCATTTTTGCAGACAGCAACTACAAAAATCAGTCGTCCTAGTGATCCCACGTTCCTGTCGCTGACAATTGCTACATCAATCAGTCAAGCTCTGATGACCCCATACTCCTGTCGCTGACAACTGCTGCATCAGTCAGTCTTATTGTATTCGCTGACAACTGCTGAATCAATCAGTTAAGTTCCTGTAATCACACATTCCTGTTTGCAGTCAACCGCTACATCAACTAGTTAGGTTCTTATGATCTCACATTCCTGTCGTAGTCAGTTGCTATATA